AGTATCAACGATAGTCATTCCCATGCGTCAGAAGTGAACTGCTTGGCGATCCTGTTGAGGATCTCGCACACCTCCGCCAAAGTTGCGCCTCAGCAACACCGACAACATGCGGCAATTCTAAATGTAGAGATCACAAAGGAACTCATCTCAATGACGTCGATGGTGGGTGTCAACATCAAATGCACCTACGTTACCCAAGCACTCCACAGTGATCCTATTGTATCTAAGCATAATCCCGATTAATTGCACCAACAAGGCAATTGAACATAGTCGTTAATGCATCTGAATTGCCTCCGGTATCTTTCCACCGCACTATGCACACACAGTGTCCTTGGAATTAAGTTAGCCCATATCAACCAATGACCGAAGACACAATAGCCCTCACATAGATGTATGCGTTGGTGGCATATGGTGGAGACGCGTGGACGTTCTAGCCTCCATTCAGCAACGAGTGCTTGCACTGAAGCTAGTTCCACACAGCTTAAGGGCACAGGTAGTTCAGCCAAGTGGTGCGACTGGGGGGAGGGTTCAGTGGGAATAAATGGACTGCCAGGAATGCCTTGCGAACAGCAACATTGGGGTGGGGGTTGTGAACATGGTAATGCGACACTCCATCAGTCATCATATGGCTAAGAATAATAAATATATCGCCAACTGCACGCTGTAACGGTGCTTCGCTGACATGCGACCACCACCAGTCGCGCGTGGGCTGAATATACCGCGCGGGCGCCCGCCCCTACGCGATTCGAACCAGTGACCTTATGGTTGCAAAACAGACGCGCATACCACTCAGCCACCGGCCGACATCTTATGGCTAGTTTGGTACGGGCGCAGCCCAAGATTTTGGACGACCTACCAACTCTCGGGCCTTTGACGGCACTGTGTCCCGTTAGCAGGTGAGTGGCAGCGAATGATCGAAAGCGGTGGTGCCAAAGCGTCATGACAGGCTTGTGAGTAAAGCGACAAAAGGGGCCTGCACAACCATGTAGTTTGTCAGCAGAACTTCAAGTACCGTACTTCACTGACGTAGCAGAATGCAATCCATCGCTGTCACAAAGCTGCTTGGGACACTGTGCAGGAAACTGCTCGTACTTGGCTCCCATGTGTCGCGAAAAAGCGTATTATGACACTCGGATGCATTAAGAGACAGCTGACGAGCTTTGGACTAACTATTGAGGTCATTCAGATGATTTTGCAACCTCAGAGAGCAATCGGCGTTTCGATGATTGATACCTAGGATAACATCGTTGGCATATTTCATTAGAGAAATTTGAAACTATTAGATCCCTTTAGTAATTTGAATAAAGCCATCAGAAAACAAACGCTGACATATGTTCACATTTCGAATAGTCTCTTCAGAGCCAATACAATAACATGAAAATACGTAAGAGGACAGGTAGGGTGAGACTGGAACAAGTTAGTGCAGGGTATGGGGGGCAGGCGTGACACCCCTAAGTCCAGGGTAGCCTTGGGCTTACGAACCACTGTTTCTGGGCACAGGGTGCGGGTTTCATACGTCTGATCGCGACTGCCTCTTTGAAACGTAACAAACGGGCGTTAGTATGTCTTAACACGATTGTAAACATTTTCGCAGGATCAAACTAATGACAGCCGGCCAGCAAACGCCTACAAATGGATGAAGCAGGTGGATTACGTGAACGGATGGTATGAACAACCGACAACTGGGTGATTTGATGCTGCAACCATTTAGGTTCATGTTCCCTTATTCTGGATTTCAGCGATTTATTGGTACAGCCGATGTAATCAATACCACAACGACAAATAGATTGGTAAATACAATGTGAGCTGGCACCAACAGGTTGGGGTAACAGGTATTCGATTAGTCCGGTTGATAAGAACAGTTTCGGCAGCAGAATAGGTTTTCTGGACAGCGGAAAGTATACGCTTCATTGTCCTCATATTCGCAAAATCACCCTAAAATGGTAGCTCGATGTAGACCTTTTTGGACACTATCGAAATCTTCCGTCCCGGCTCCCTCGGCTGAATAGGTTGGTCGATGAATCTTCTTGGATAGCCACCTTTCAACAGAGTATCGCTGAGCGAGATTATCTCATCAACTAAACAGTGCATGTTTTTCTTGCACGGTTGAATAGTGCCTTGACTAGGGTCGGTTTGTACCGAGCCTGTACATCGAGTTACAATTTAAGGGTGATTTTGCAAATATGAGGACAATGAAGCGTATACTTTCCGCTGTCCAGAGAACCTATTCTGCTGCCAAAACTGTTCTTATCAACCGGACTAATCGAATAACTGTTACTCCAATGACGGAAAGACAACCTATTGGCGCCAACTCACATTGTATTTACCAATCTACTTGTAATTGTGGTATACACTACATCCGCCGTACCAATAGATCGTTGAACTCCAGAATAAGGGAACATGTACCTAAATGGTTGCAGCATCAAATCATCCAGTCGCCGGTTGTTCATACCATCGGTTCACGTAATCCACGTGCTACATCCATTTGTAGGCGTTTGCTGGCCGCCTGTCATCAGTCTGATCCTGCGAAAATGTTTACGATCGTGTTAAGACATGCTAACGCCCGTTTGCTACGTTTCAAAGAGGCAGTCGCGATCTGCCTTATGAAACTCGCACCCTGTGCCCAGAAACAGTGGATCGTAAGCCCACGGCTGTCCTGGGCTTAGGGGTATCACTCCTGCCCCCCATACCCTGCACTAACTTGTTCCAGTCTCACCCTACCTGTCGTCTTATGTATTTTCATGTTATTGTATTGGCTCTGAAGAGACTATTCGAAATGTGAACATATGTCAGCGTTTGTTTTCTGACGGCTTTACTCAAATTACTAAAGGGATCTAATAGTTTCAAATTTCTCTAATGAAATATCCCAACGACATTGTCCTAGGTATCAATCATCGAAACGCCGATTGCTCTCTGAGGTTGCAAAATCATCTGAATGACCTCAATAGTTGGTCCAAAGCTCGTCATCTGTCTCTTAATGCATCCGAGTGTCATAATACGCTTTTTTCGCGACACATGGGAGCCAAGTACGAGCAGTTCCCTGCACAGTGTCCCAAGCAGCTTTGTGACAGAGATGGATTGCATTCTGCTACGTCAGTGAAGTATGGTACTTGAAGTTCTGCTGACAAACTACATGGTTGTGCAGGCCCCTTTTGTCGCTTTACTCACAAGCCTGTCATGACACTTTGGCACCACCGCCTTTGATGATTCGCTGCCAATCACCTGCTAACCGGACATAGTGCCGTCAAATGCCCGAACGTTAGTGGGACGTCCAAAACGTTGGGCTGCGCCCGTACCAAACTAGCCATTAAAATGTCAGCCGGTGACCGAGTGGTATACACGTTTGGTTTTCAACCGCAAGGTCACTGGTTCGAATCGGCGAAGAGGCGGGCGTCCTCTCGGTATATTCGGCCCACGCGCGACTGGTGGTGGTCGCATGTCAGCGTAGCGCCGTTACGGTGTGCAGTTGACGATTTATTTATGTATTATTATTATTAGCCATAAGATGGCTGATGGAGTGTCACATTACCATGTTCACAACCCCCACCCCAATGTTGCTGTTTGCAAGGCATTCCTGGCAGTCCACTTATTCCCACTGAACCCTCCACCCAGTCGCACCACTTGGCTGAACTACCTGTGCCCCTAAGCTGTGTGGAACTAGCTTCAGTGCAGGCACTCGTTGCTGAATGAAGGTTAGAATGCCCACGCGTCTCCGCCATATGTCACCAACTCATACGTCTATGCGGGGATTATCATAACTACCGTCGTTGGTTGATTTGGGCTAACTTAATTCCAAGAACACTGCGTGCGCATAGTGCGGTGGAAAGATATCGGAGGCAATTCGGATGCATTAAAGACTATGTTCAACTGGCTTGTGGATGCAAACCAAAGCCTTATAGAGCAAGCCAACTGCACTATGGATGTGTTCAGTCGGGAAGAGGTTACAATCGCAAGCCCTACTAATCAAAAATTTGTTTCCATCAGGACATCGGCACTACGTGACAACTAATGTACGTTTGCACCATCCACCCTTCTACAGTTGGTCTTGTTGTTGTGCTACTGTGTTATAGATACAAAGGTGTGAAAGCCAAGTGGAACATTCGTTCAGCTGCCAGCACAGAAACTGTCGCTAACGTCCAGCCTTTCTTGATGGGTCTCAAGCGCACTGGTGCGTGTTACGCGCTGCCTATTTAGTTTCATCTCGCGTGCACAACGCCTGGCGATAGGGTAAGTCAGTCTGTACCGATCAGAAATCTAATAGCTACTCTGTGCGTGCGTTTCGACCAGGAGAGTCGAAACAACTGGGATGGTTTTAATAATTCCTAGGCGATGAGATGACAGCTTGTGTCAAGGATAGAGCGGAGAATGTTGCAGTGTTATCACGAAACTACAGTAGTACTACGGTTATGGTAGAACGGCGTTAAAAGCCTAGTCACGTTGGAGTATTAGGGTGCACGAAGCACCACTGGTTTTCGATGGGACTATCGGGACAGGAGTATTAATTGCTGTCACACGGTGGGTTACAAAGAGTCGATTAGCTGAGTAGCGCACGTACCTCCTGGTCTCCGGGCACCTGCTAGCTAGCGATAATGTAGCCCCCCCCCACTGGGCGATGTGTCAATGTAGGTAAGCGATAATGCTGCTGAAAGGCCGATGAAAGGCCTAAGCTGCAATGGAGCAAGTCGTCCTCCAGGATGACTGCAAAACATCTTAGAATGTGGTGGATAACCACGGAGTTAAGAAGTTCCCGAAAACAGTCAGCTGAGATCCTCCAGCCGATGTATGGTTTTTCGGACTGTTGAACATAGGTTGGAAACAGAAAGTAGATTTACAAAAATTATATATGAAATCTGTGAATGATAGGAATATTGTTAAGTTTCCTGAGGGAATACAGAGCTGGCACAAGCGAGTGCTGTTTCAATTCCGGGGGGAAAAGTAGAATGGACGAGACGAGACCGGATTGAAGAGAGGTGGATTGATGTGAATCGAAAGATACTCACCTCCCAGCGCTGTGTCACCGTTTTTGCTCCTAGCAAGCTGCCCAGGAGACTTGAGGTGCTGAAATATGGACAGATCAGATGGAAAACAAGGCGACTTGTGGAACAAGACAGTGAATCTAATGGACAAATCAAAACGAAGTGATCAATAAGTTCGAAGAGCAAACGAAAGAACCTTCGCGCATGAAGATTAGACTCACTTCTTCTGTGTCATCAAGGACTGTGAGGCGGTATTTGTGGCTGCGACGTCCTGGAAGCTGCGAGGAAAACAAAAGGGACAGGCATGTCCATTAGTAACAATTAAGGTTTAACGACAAAAGCAAGTGGTTTTCTGCCCTTGGCGACGTCGTACACCCGGCAAATGGATGAAAACAGGTATTGTTGCCATAGTAGCAGCAGACCGAATGGGCGATTCAAACAACAGTACGCTCTCATTGCGTCTCCAGACGGATGTTCAGTTGGAATGAAACTTGACAACCAGGTAGTTTGGAGAAACAAGCACAGCGACATAATGAGGCAGACAGAACTACCAAGTCAAGTACCTCAATCAACAGCACAAATCATGACCATGGGTGAAAAAACGGCCACGGTCAGATGACAACGCAGTGGAAACAAGATTCTGCACACCCAAATCGGTCTGTTTCAGATACGGTCCCAGAGATCGAAATCACCAAGATTTGCTCCAGTGTTAATCGTACTAGACTTAGGGATTGCGCGTGTCACAATCCATTCAAGCAACAAGTGTTTCAAAATGACCCTTCACCTCCCGAATCAATCGCCAGTCACTTATATACTTCGTAGCTGGGTAAGAGTCAGTAAGTGTGACGAGGCAGGTAGCAGCGAGATAAGGTACCATACTGTCTCACAAGGACATGCAACCGTGACATGCCACAGTGGCTCGTGCGTGTCTGCGACACGTTGGTTTGTGGTGAGTAGCAATTTCCAGGTTATCGCAGTCGCTCATTCCAGACAAATCTACGACCTCAGGTTAGCCATAAATGAACACAACAACCCCCTAAGGGACTGAGAAGGCAGCAATCTCAATAGCTCGGAATATGCTTGGAACCGACTGGTATCTCATAATTTCAGAAGGTTTTGAATACAAATCAGTTTTTGTAGGAATTATTACGGCCAAGTTTCGATCTTGTGTCAAGTGCGAAATGTTGTTATAATAAATCCTACGAAAAACTGTGTATTCAAAACCTTCTGAAATCACAAGGCATCGATCTCTCTCCCCTACCAAAAAGCAGTCACGAGAGACGACGGTTGAGGGGTTATGACGTCACCTTTGTGCTAACGTAGGACATGATCGCACGAGACCAGAACCGTTGCTCAACAATCGGTGACCGGCCACATCAAGCCACGTAGTGTCTGGTACAGCCGCTCAAACACATCTGAGATTGGCCAGAGACCGTTTAACGATTGGTACAGATGAAAATAGCTCATGAATCGCTCGGAATCTTGACTGGTCCCAGAAACTTCCTAAGGAGGTTATTCAGCCTTGTTCCTGAGCTAGACGTGCTCTCCAGTGTCTTGTAGGTTAAACTTTTGTACCAAAGGCTAATGAGACTCCAAATGAGGTGACAGTGTGTATCGTGGCCTTCTGAGTCTGCTTAAAGTATCAAAGGTTAAAGACAAGCGCTCTCCAAAAAACATCGCTCTCAGAATGGGTAGCTGGGTGAGGTCGTCTGCCAACAAGACTCGGTCGCTAGTATCTTTCATCCTGTTTGCCATGGTTTCCAAGTCTCTGCTCATTTCTAACCTCACTCGCCATACTAAGTCGTGTTGCGAGCTTACAGAAATAACCCCACAACCCATGGACATACGCAACAGGTGCAAGGTTGACCACAAGCAGCAGTTCCGACGTTCATATGCCCACCGAGCTACGCAACTGGATTGCAAACGTTTCATCATCAAACGAGTTTACAATGTCATCTCGTGCCACAGGACCGGATCGACAACCTACTGCTGTTTCTCAATAAGACTAGGGGCTGCCGATCCGCTAAAAGATATAGGTGGCTGGACAGTGTGTATGGTGGCGATCCAATCGAAGAGATTAGTGGAAGAGTAGGAAGCGGATTAATTGTGTCTTGAGAATTTTCATCGGAGCCACTACACATCCAGGAAAGCGCTAGACGGCCGTTTCGTCCCACTGGGACTCGTCAGTAGCGCGAATCTGCCGGAACCTGCCCGATCCCAATCCACAACCTAGCTCTTATGAGTTAGCGAGTTATGGGAATCATGGGCGGCAGTGGCGGCGGACCACCAAGACTGATATCTAACTGCGATATAGCGCAACGCATACTTCACCGTCATGCATGTTATGAATGTGAAGGGGACAGGGCTGGACCCCAGAGATACGAATATATTTGCAAGTCGCCACCAATCGAGGTATGTAAGCTTCTTGGATAAGTAAAAGCAACAGTAGAATATGTGAACAAGGAATATAGGTTCGTTGTTCAGGCTGAGTATGATTCCTCCGTATGATCCCTCTTCGAACAGGAACAAGGCCAGTGTGAATTGTTAAGGTGGGTGGCGTCCGATTGCTGATGCCCTGGAAGCATCGATCACTTCGGGCGGTAGCACTGAACTACAATGCAGTCGTATTTATCCCATTGGGCCATCAGGCGCCGCAGTGGGGTGTCTACTGAACCAGAATTGTTCGGATTACCCCCGTCATGTCTTCAGAAGATAGATGCTGACGAGACGCAGCAGCATCATCATCATTATACATGTTAGCTAGAGGTGGGAAACACCTCAGCTACTGTGCCGCAATACATAGAAGAAAAAAGGAGAGAAAAAGCAACAGGTGCAAGCCAGCTGAGCTACCGGTAACGGATGGGTATCGTTCCGGTAAGCTACCAGCCGGCTACTGTGCACCAAAAAGATTACTGTACAATATTATATAAGGCTAAATAGTGTGATCGTGGTTGGAGGGGGAGGCTAAGAGGGATGGGATGGGATAAAGAAACTCACAGCACGAACGCCACTGAGGTCGGCTCCTAGCCATATCAGCAAGTGTATCCAGCCAAACGTGTTCATCGTCTTTCGGACCCCAATCAAGGAGCCGAGACGTTCCAACCGAGGCCAGCTCAGAAGTGAGGGCCTTCATTCCTCTGGACCAAGTCATCGCTTGGCCACCCCTCCTCTTCTTCCATCCACACCCCCGGCGCGCAAACAATACACGTCGCGGGAGTCGGTGGGCTGGCATGCGTAACATGTGGCCGAGCCATCGGAGCCTGGTGCGTGAAATAACGGTGCTGAGCGGTTCAGTTCCTTTTCCTGAGCCATAAACAAGGCGTCGAACACGCTCGTTGCTCACGCGGTGTTCCCACCAGATGTGAGCTAAATTACCAAGGCACCGGTGGTCGAACGTAACTAGCCTCTTTATGTCCGCTAACCTAAGGGACCAGATTTCATAACCGTACAGTAGGGTCGAACGTACTGCTGCATTGTACACTCTACCGTTCAGGGCAAGAGTGATGTCGCGCCAGCGCCATAAGTGGCGAAGGTTAGCAAAAGCGCCCCGAGCTTTTGCTATACGGTTCATGATCTCATTTTCAATCCCACGGGCGCTGATACAACTTCCCAGGTAGTTGAACTTTTGAACGACTTCTAGCTGATCCCCACCAACGGTCAGCGTAGGGGGCGGTCCAGACCAATCTTGGAGGAACGATTCGCACTTCGAGGGTGTGAAGCAAAGCCTGAAGTGACGGACAGCTAGTGCTAATCTGTCCAGTGCCGCTTGGCACATTTGTGAGCTGTCACAGATTAGGGCAATATCATCAGCATACTCTAAGTCAAGAAGTCGTTCTCCTGGGAGTAGCTCCACACCTTCTAAGTCGTGTCCTGTAAACGCGATTTCCATGACTTCGTCAACAGCGAAGTTGAAGAGGAAAGGTAACAGCGGGCATCCTTGTCTCACACCGCTGGAGATATTAAAGGGCGACGACAACTTGCTGTAAGCCCTCACTCTCCTCGAGCTACGAGCATATAATGCTCGGATAATATTCACATATTTCTCAGGTACATCTTTCCTGAGTAGACAGTCCCCAAGTGCATGTCTATCCACCGAATCGAATGTGCCTTTGATATCGAGGAACACGACAATGGTGGGCCGCCAATATATGTGACGGTGCTCCAACAACTGACGCAAGGTGAAGATGTGGTCAATGCAGCCACGACCTCGACGAAATCCAGCTTGCTCCTCACGAATCTGGCTTTCACGAGTGCCAGTCAGTCTGTGAAGGATGACAGAGGCAAGCAATTTGGAGGCGATGGAGATCAGACTGATTCCTCTATGGCTGCCGCATTCCGATCGTGAGCCTCCCTTGAAAACTGGGACTATGACGGAGCGACTCCAGTCGATTGGGACAGTTTCCTGCTCCCACAGTTTGACTAGTAACTCGTGTAAATCATCCATAAGAGCAGGTCCCCCGAATTTGAAGATGGCTGGAGGAAGACCATCTGGTCCCGCGGCTTTAGTTAACTTCAACAGTCCGACATGACGTTTGACTTCTGAACGAGAGGGTGGATCGAAAAAGACAGCCCAGGGAGTGGGGCGATCAATGGCCAGCGAAAAATTTAACCATTCCGTCCGATTAAATTGCCTTTTAAAGTGCTCAGCCCAACGCTCTAGGCGTTTTGATAAGTTGTGAATACGAATCACGGGCAATGTGAATAGGCTGTCCACTCTCGTCACGTATAGTTTCACTTACACCAGGTCTCCTGCTGCCCGTTTCCCGTATCAGACGGAATAACTTACGATGGTTAACAAGGGCAGCAGCGATTTCCATTTCTGACGAACGATGAGACCACCAATATTCGCGGTCTCTCTTCAGGTTAGCGCGGAGTTTTGCCCGGAGCTTTTTGCGAGTTTCATTGTGTGCGCTTCCAGCTGGAATATGCCGGCGAGCATCTGTAAGTTCCAGAGACTGTGAAGAGACCCAATGTCCATGCTGGCGATTAGACACACCACATGAGGATTTTCCTGTTGCTAGTAAGTTCTGGTGAATATGAGACCAGTGAGCTTCAATTACATCCAGTGAGCGTTTATGCAACTCGCATGAAAGCGTACTTTAATAGGCATTCAGAACAGCTGGCTTCACCAATTGGCTGGTGTCAATGCGCTCACGTCGTCCGCCAAAACGCATCCGCAGGTCAGCACATACAAGTGCATGGTCGGTGTCCACACCCGTGCTCCAAATCGAGCGACAGTTCTGGACGCAGCCTCTCCATCGGTAACTCAGCGCAATGTGATCGATTTGCGTTCATAGCTGGTTCGAGGCTGGTGGGCGCCAAGTCACCCTCCGCCCGGTGCTGTGTCTGAAATTAGTGCTCGCAAGAAATAAGCGAGCATCCTCACACGAATGAAGTAACCGCTCACCGTTATCATTACGGGAGCCTATACCATGTTGGCCGCCCAGATGCAGCTCATCTGTGGATAATTTTCCAACTTGAGCGTTCAGATCCCCAGCAAGCACTACAGTGTCCGAGCTTCTTCTGTGGCTAAGGAGTTCGTTCAGTTGACGATAGAAGTTGTCTTTTACCGAGTCATCGCTACAGTTTGTCGGTGCATAGGCAGCGATAACGAATAGACACCTGTTAGTCCCAAGTGACTTCGAAGCTTTGAACGATCCAGCCAATCGGACCGCACACATCCGGCTACTGATTGGAATCCAATCAACCAGAGTAGCTTCAGCCCGGGGACTCAGGGCAATACCAACACCGGATAGGCGCAATGAGAAAGTGCTGCTAGTGTCACCTGAAGCGGATCGTAGAGTGAGCAAAGAGCTCGAGTCTTGCAGGCGGGTCTCCGATAAGCAGCAGATATCGATCGATAGGGTCTCTAATGTTCGAGCAAGTGCTGCCTGTTGACCGATCTGAAGCAATGTGCGAACATTGAGGCATGCCAATCTGAAGGAGGATCGAGGGCTCCAAATGGAAGCCGATGAACTGGAATGGACCGCTTATTTGGACGTAGGCCTGTTGACAGGGCAGGAATGACGCTCCGCGTTCACATGTGAGTTGAAACTAAAAGGCAAGCGACTATTGAAGCAACGTGGGGGAGGGCCGAGAATTAGGGGGTTGAAAACAGGGGGGATAAAAGTGAAGCTGAAACGGGACGATAAGGGTGAAAAAGCGCAAGAGGGGGAATAAGAAGACGGGAAGGCTTGAGCAGTAGCATCCAAACCCCTATCCACCCTGCTCGATGCAGCAGATAGGGTACCGTTGATTATCCTCTGCGGTGGCCAGAGCATCAGGAATTTGTTTGAAGAGAGATTCATGGTATTGCGTGGGCAGGATATTGTCAGGTTGCCCAGGCCTAGACAGGAGAACAATCAGGGTTCTCAACCAAAGCTTTGGTTCGAAAAACCTGAGCGCAAGGCAGCGGGTTAGACGTTGGGCTACAAGGAGTCCGTTTTAAGGAATAAGGAGCCATCCTCATTCCAACCCCCAACCTGGAGGACCAGAAGGTTGAGTTTGTCTGGCCTCTAACCATTGACCAATGTGGTATGAGTGGCTCTGAAGGTGCAAAAATAGCACCACCCAGCATAGCTCAATGGATCACAGAGGCAGACAAACCATCGCACCACGGTAAGGTCCAGCCTCATTGCGATGGCCTCATGACACTACTGGCTCTATCGTGTCAGTGAACCAGCTGATGCGTCAGTTACCGCACAAACCAACACTGACACTAACTGAGATTTCCTCAGGACACCATCACTGGGCGACAAATTGTGCTTTCCTTACACCCACCTTCCTCCATAGTTTATATATTACACTGCTATTCTAGTGAACTATAAATAAGAAAGTGTAGCAGGAATCCTTCGCCTTGGCCGAGTCAGTAAAAGAACTCTTGCTAACAACCAGTCTTTCTCTCTTGTTCGGGTTTCAATGCAGTCATGCCAGGTCACGCGTGAATCGTCCCCACTCTCACCTTGCGTGTACGTCTGGCGGCTAGGTCTCATAAGCCCGAAACGTACTGAATTCGATTGGCGGATCTGCGCGCGTGGGATACCATCTGTGGAGAACGTTCGTCAGTTTCGACTGAGAGTTATAATACTCCTCAGTGAGCAACACTTGACAACACAGCCACACAACGGGCACTACAAACTTAACTTTTGAGGAAAGCAACATCGAAACTGCTCCACTTCGGGGATGGTCCTAGGGATTAGAATGACCGTGGTCAACTTCAAAATGAACCGAGGTCCCAATAGATATTGCATTTCGAAAACCAACAATACGGCGGGTACTCCAACCCCAAATTTGAATTCCGAGACTTATTCACTTCTGGAGTTGGTTCGGTGTTGCTCCTCCCAACCCGAACCACCTCCATTTCGGATACAGACCTTGTGATCATAATGATCGAGGTCTACTTCAAAGGGAACCGAAGTCTGATTAGCGATTGCGTGTCGCAATCCGACCACACAGCGGATACTGCAAATCCACTCTGAATTTCTTAGTCACTTCACTTCAATTGAGTAATTCCTTCTTGTTCTCAGTCCTCTGGCTTCTTTCGCCATTATCTTATTTTTACGTGTCGGGGTTGCTCAGAGAGAGAGAATGGAATGTATTGGGATGCACGGATCACAGCTTGGAAAAGGAAATGAGGCCAAACGCGAATGATGTAACAGCGACTCGGCGCGATTGTGTTCGTAAGTGTGGAGAAACTCTAGCATTTCAATTGGTTCACCGAAGACAAGCCAACTGGAGCGCATTCCAAGGCCTGAGGACTGTGCGCTTCATTGTCGAGGAAGCAGAATACAATGGGCACTGTGTACTAAGCAAAACTCCGCAATAATGCCTGAATTCGGATGCGAACACAGTTTGAAAGGCTAACTAACGCCGTGGTATGTTAACATCACGAAAGCGAGATCCAGTGCGAATAAAGAAGCAGCAACCATTTGAACAGACATTTAAACAGAATCTACTCAAAAACCTAATAAATCCCCCTGCTACTTACAAATAATCAGTAGTTGCCTTAGCAGCATACTTGCCACCTCGATTGGTGGCAGCTTGCAAAGGAAGTCGTTGCTCTGGGAGCCAGCCCTGTCCTCTGCACATCATAACATGCAAGACAGTGGAGGATGAGCCGCGCTATATCGCAGTTAGATATCAGTCATGGTGATCCGCTGCCGTCGCCCATGGTTCAGTGACATACGTCGCTGACTCGCAAGAGTAAGGTCGTGGGTTCGAATCCGGCAGGATTCGGCGGGTGCGCGCTATTGACGAGTCCCAATAGGATGAAACGGCCGTCTAGCGCTTCCTTGGATGTGTGGTGGCTGTCTGTCTCAGTCTAACTGCGACGAATCTACTCAAAAACCTAATAAATCCCCTACTACTTAGACTTAAGATGTACCGACTAGGGATATTGTACCGCCTGGGACAGCAGAATGAATCTTCTACACAGGACACACAGGGGAATGAGGTCAAAATTGGAGTTCCGGCAGTGAGTGAGATGAAATCCACTCGGGCTATTTTCATCTACCGAGGGTAGCAAAATCAGTTCCAACAACAAAGTTACAACATGCCCACCGAACGGGACCTGCATCTCGTGGACACTAGACAAAAAATATCGAGCGCATTTTAAAATAGGCTAGAATGAAAGAAAAAAAACAAATCATCCGTTAATTCCCAGTTCAGGAAAACAATACCCCAAGCCCGAGTTAAGGGGGACATTGTTGGTCACCAAGATACCAGACAATGTGACCAACTAATCCACGTAGTTACAATGACCAACGTCCAATGGAGCAGACAGCCAATATGCGGTAAGGAGACATGGAAAGATGAAACACGAAAAGACATATCACCCGCATCCGTCGTGTGAACGACGGAAAAATAGAGTATAGCTTAAAAATGCTAAAGAAAGGACTCACCGCTGGTACACTTTCGACTGCAACCCTTTGGAGAAGACGAGAAGGAAATTTCTTCCATCTGTGTTGAAAACTTCCAGCGCAATTGGCTGCAACAAATAGCGCCGTTTGAAAACGTCTTGGATGTCTTCGTAAGGGAATTTGAAGTATCTAGATGTCCATAAGGGATAGATAAACATGTACAGTTTCTCCCGACCAAGGTCAAATATACCAATACTATACCGTAGACTACTTTCTTCAGCAAGTCATCATAAAGCACATGGATAAGACAGTAAAAATGAGGAGCGAAAATTCGACAAGTCTTCGGGGAGCAATTCAGGACAGAGATTTTATTCCGGTCCCTAAAGAAGGCACGTCGAAACAGCTGGGCAGCTGGGCAGCCACGGGCTAAAGGGAATGGTGTGACGATGACTCCTAAGGATCTACTTTGTGTTAGCGCATTTAAGCAATCATTGTCAAAGCATTGATGGGTGGTGAACTCAGCTGCTCTGGAGCACATAACACTAGTAGCTACAAGCAAATAAAGCCGAAGAATAAGAAGATAAACTAGAAAATGGTATACATCCTTGGGCATCACAAGTACATACATGGTCATGAGCGTATTCACTAGACCTGAGAGAGTTAGGACAAGTGTCCTTGAAATAACGGCGTGAAAGGGTCAGCTCCGCTTCCCGAGGGTCGCAAATGAGAGCGCACTCGAGTACGTTTTACTGTGTACAGTCACCGCCGTCGCAACGATACTGGATTTGAAAGTGGTGCGACGGTCCGCGCACCTCATTGACCCATTGAGCTATACTGGCTGATGCCTCAGGGCACCTTGATCGGAATGACCGAGATCCACCTCAAGTGAACCGAGGTCTCAATAGAGGTTGCCTGTAGCAACGCAACCACACAGCGGATTATCATTGCCACTTCCCCGCTGCATTGCGGACAGGCTTATGAGCCAAAGGCTTTTGTTGAGGACCCCAATCGTCCGCCTGTCTAGGTCTGGCAGTATCACAGTCTACATACAACCATGACAATTTCCTCAAACGATAACAACATCCTGCATCGGCCGTCGTGCAGATTATCAAGGGTCGCCTTATCTGCTGCATACAGCAGGGCGGATAAGCGAAAACATGCTACTGCTGGTGCCTCGCTTCGTTCTTTTCCACCTTTTTCTCTTACTCCTATCCTGACCTCCGTTATTAACCTTTCTATAATTCCCAGCTTAATTGACAGCAACCGAAATGACACTGGAGTAGAACCATCTGCAGCTACCTTCCCGCACTACCCACTGGAGGCCTATCAGCAACAGTCCCTAATCAGGCCACACTGTTCCGTTTCGTTGGCGGAGTTCAAAGTGCGTACTCTAAGACAAGTTGGTCAACATGCTGTACTCGAACGCACGTTGGACACACTGGGTATTGAGGTGTGTTGCCTATCCGAAACTAGGACCAATGACCCTAACGGGGTTATTGAATTAACTGCACCCGGATTGTCCTCCCGCCATTGGTTGCACCCATCCGGACACGCTGATGTGTCAACTGCTGGTCAAGCTGGTGTAGGTATCATTCTAAGCTCCAAGGTTGAGCCATCGCTGGTTGATTGAATTCCGGAGAACAGTCGTTTGCGTTCAGCCCGTTTGACAAAATCGACCAAATTTGATACACGAAGCGGTACAAGACGCTGTTTGTACGTGATTTCCGCGTATACTCCCACCGACTGCAGTTCTGCTGCTGCCAAGGACACATGCTATCACAAACTGAACACGCTACTACACAGTGCAACTAGTTCATAGAATATATTACTTGCAGGGGATATGAACGCACAAGTAAGGCGTATGAGCTCTTCAGAAGCTCAGCTGGGTGGTAATTATGGGCTTAACTCCGAACGGACTGACAACGGCGAGCGTCTGCTGCAACTGTGTGCGGAGCACCAGTTGTTTCTTAGTAACACTGCTTTCAGACACAGTGGGCGCCGAAGTGCCATTTGGCGTCCACCTGTGGCTGGCCAGCGATGGACCCAAATTGACCTCATAGCCATAAGTTACAGGTGGCGCGGTTCCATTCCGGATTGCCGCTCATACTGGAGTACCTGTGTCGACTCTGACCATGCCTTGGTACGCTGTCCTATCTCTATGAACTTTACCGGGTGGCGCACCAAGCGTCTCCTCCAATAGACAACTGAGAAATTGTCTCAGCCCTCGCTCAGGCAAACCTATCAAGAAGCACTGCGTACCGAACTTTCGCTGTCTTGTCCTAATGACACTGAGCTTCAGTGGAATAGGATCTCGGCCGCCATGCACGATGCAGGAGCATCTGCGTGTGGCACCATCGATCGTCACCGTACCAGTCACTGGATATCCGAGAGGTCGGTGAACTTGTTGAAATCTATAAGACACCTTCCGGCCGGCTCTGAACACAATGTGACCAGACGGGTTATTAGGCGTGAACTAAAGCAGGGCCTACATGCTGACAAGGAAGCCTGGTGGACCAGTCGGGCTCAAGAAATACAGGAGGCAGGAGTAATAGGCAATTACCGCAAGCTCTTCCAACTAATCCGCACCACTGGTCCCAGAAAACCAGGCGTCATTGAGACAATCGGAGACAGCACGGGTGCGCTGATACACAATAAGGAGCTCCGTATGGCTCCTTGGGCGGAACATATTCAACACCAGCTCAGCTGGCCCCCTGCTCCCGGACCTCTTCCTACTCAGGTAATGCAGGACGAGCCATGGACGGTTAGTTTAGACCCTCCGTCCGAGGCCGAGGTCCGAAACGCGATCACAGCCCTTAATCGTTTTCATGCCGCTGGCCCGGATTCCCTCCAACCTGCACTATTTAAGGATGGGGGTGAGGTCCTCTGCAAAGCACTGACCTCCCTATTCGAACGTATTTGGAAGGAAGAGTGTCCCGGCTAATTGGAGGGAATCGATTATGGTGGCAATATACAAGAACGGCAATCGCACAGTGTTCTAACCACAGGCGTATTAGCCGAACGCCAGTTGTGACAAAATTATTGGCCTCGATTATCGTTCGTCGTCTCACTGTGGAACGGGAATCTCGGGTTAGGGAAGAGCAGGCCGGTTTCCGCCCAGAACCTGGCTGTATAGACCATATATTCACTTTGTGGCAGGTGCTAGAGCAGCACCACGCATACCGCAGACCGACAATAGCTGTCATATTCGATTTCAAGAGTGTGTTCGAATCAGTCGATCGATGCACTCTGTTCGAAATACTTGTGCGGAAAGGTGTTCCCACGAAATATGTGAACATCCTTCGTGCTCTATTCTCGAACATTACAGGCCGCGTCAGGGTCTACGGTGTCCTATCGGATAGCTTTCCGACCACAAGTGGCGTTGATCAGGGTTGTCTGATTTCCCCATTTCTGTTCAATTTCGTCGTGGATTTTATCATGGTGTGTTCGCTTGCGGAATCTCACGATGTAGGCGTTGAAGTGCTGCCTGGTGAATGGCTAATTGATCTTGATTATGCGGAGGAGATCGTCTTGCCTTTCGACGATGTTGTGGCGGTCCAAACAGCCCGGAATAAGCATTTCTCAATTCGTTGCATCGTTCCCCAAAAGTTTACATCGGTCACGCTTGAAGCTACATCGAGTGCCTCATGTGACACGTTGCATGTGTGCACGCCAATGATGTCGACTATGAGCCAACTTCTGTAACGTATAAAGCCAAGCACAGGGCAGGTCACGTGGACTCCAGCCTGGAAGGTGAGACGGACCAACAGCAACGAGTTTCGTCGTCAGTGACTTCATTTCTCACTGTCAAATCAACTTTTGTCCATCTCGAGCCTTGCGCCATCCTGGCAGGCGAAATAAGGCCCTCCTCGGTAAGCGGTGACCAGGCATAAGTAGTACCTACCCAAGCCAACGCAACTATTTCATTGCAGTCTGTGGTTCTGACGAACTAGCTTGGGTATTCTTGCCTCACACTCGTCTATGCACATCGTCATTGCGGACAACCTGGTGCCACCCGGCACCAGTAGTGGACTGTAAGCGGCGATGATCAAAGACCTGAAGGCATCACAGAGGCTCAGAGTAATCAAAAGAGTCTAGTAAATACACAGAGAACCAACAAAAACCATGGAGAGTAGAGGATAAGGGGCAGAGTCACCGCGACATATTCATCACGGCATAGTAGTTGATTAGCAACACACTTCAGCGATTGTGCCGCAGGAAGAAGGGAACCTTTCTACAAAAAGTAGAACAAAACATTTTTATGAGTACTATAAAAACATTTTTAGTTTGTTTATCATACACCGATTTTACTCATTTTTTTTCATTTTCAATGTCTGAATTAGTACACATGTGAATAAATACAACGCTGTACACAACTCTCCCAATGATTCCGGTTGCGGATCATGTCTTCAAGAGTGTTAAGCCATTGGTACTCCTCATCCTTGGGTCCCCATCCTAGAAGACGTACGGGTTCAACGGCGACTAGACGCAAGGTCAACGATTTCATGTACTGTCGCCAAATGGAAGGCTGACAGCTACGCGGTCGCAGCCAGCCAGGTCCTTGGTGGGCGAACAGAGTGCGACGCGGTAGGCGTGCAGGTGCCATGCGTGGGACGTGACCGAGCCATCTCAATTGGCGCAAAAAAAGTTTGTTGAAGGGAATACTCGCATTCCCCAAGATGTGAAGTCGAAGGTCATCACTGTGAACTCGACGTTGCAACCAAATACGAACAATCCTCCCTAAGTAACCGTTGTCGAAGGCAGAAACACGACGCATATCTTCCAGACGAATGGGCCAGGACTTGCTCCCATATAAAAAGGCTGAGCGAACAGATGCGGCCCTTTAGCGAGAATGAGACGTCGCAACGACACCACAAGTGCCTCAGATTGGCAAATGCTGATCGGGCTTTAGCGTGCGCAGAGAAACTTCGTTGCTGATAGTGTCGTCAGCAGAAACACAGCTTCCAAGGTAGACGAAACTATCTATCTGTTCAAGTTGTGCACCTTCAAGAGTGAGCACGGGAGCAGGTGTAAGCCAATCATTGAGCAGTACTTTACACTTCGATGGGGCGAAGCTCATGCCATACTTAGATGCTTCAACCCCAAAACGGTACAGAATAAGTTGCATACCCTGAGGATCCACACCAAGTAAGGCGATATCATCAGCATAATTTAAGTCGGTCGCGCGCTTA